ACTCACCGCTTTTAGTGAGGCCCAAGCAAATCTGTTACGTAAAAGAATTACATAAGCACACGTATTCCTCGTAAGTGTTACAATGGCAAGATTCTTGGACAAGATTCTCATGCATGCGCTATGGTCTGCCCATTGTGGTGTATGTTTGAATCATACAGATACATACCTAATTATAGCTATAGGAGCCGCTTGTCAATCAAGCTGAAATTATACAACGAGAACTGAAATAAATTATACAAATCCTAAGTGAAAATTAGTGTATTTTAATCTTTATTGTTACTTCTGCGGCCAGTATACAGAACAGCTCCGTACAACACGATGTGGGAAGTTTTTCCGGTCGCCTAATATTTGACAAGCTTGGATTTTATTTGTCGATATAACCTGAAAAGTTCAGGCCTTATCGTTTCTAATTTTACAATACTGTTTGCTGTTACTGCATCTCTGAGTTAGTGTGCATTCTTTGCCATTTTACTTAGCATTTTTTTATTTCACATATGTCGTGTTTTCGTGTCGCAAAGAACATAGAATACAGGAATTGCGTCGTCGAGTGTTCTAATGGAACCGTTCACGCAAGAAGTAGCAACTATTCTATTCCATGATAAGCACAATAAAAATGCTGACACATGGTTGGACTAGTTTTCAGTATTAAAGAAAGTTTCAACGGCGCTTTGCTTCTTACTTTTTAGGTGATCAACACTTTCAGCAATTCCTAAATGTCAACTTATTGCTGCTCAAGTAGGACAACAAAACCGTTCGTCAAATATAGGACGATAGATAGGACGGAACTCTTCGTTCCAGAAGCACATTGTTTTGTTTTGACGCTTATAATGCTTACGTTGCCATTGACGGATCTTGGAAACTGATATGGCGGACTCGGTGCGTGGACGAAGCTTCTTTGTAATATTAACGCCGCTTTATAAGCAAAAAGAAGCGCACTTCTTGTAGAGACTGAAACTAAAACCAGCTAGACGCGGCCTAAGAGCTGAGTAGAAGGTTATCTTTCAAGATTATTCCGACGTGCTTTGGTGTGAGCAGTTTCGTTAGACTGCGAGAGGATCTCCAGAGATCAGTAAGAAACCAGTTGCAGATTTCTATTAACCAGAATATCGAACAGTGTTTCCACTTCGGAAAAGTTACTCTCGCCGATTTGGCTAAATTAAACAAAGTTATTTTTATAAAGTTTACGTTCTAATATTACTTAGCTGAGAAATAGTAATATTACCCAACAATACATTTAAGCGAAAGTAATATAACGGTGAGATTCGTAACAAAATCTAAATAAGTACACTAAGATGTCTGTAAGAGACAATGTCTATTACATTTAAATTTTTACAGAAGTCCGTATTTTCCGGAAGTGCGCAACAGACCGTCTGCTTCAAGCGTACGTTCAATTAAATCGAATATCTGAGCAGATAGGAAGTGATAGCTAGCTAACATGCGTTCATCCATTATCTGGTCTTTAACGCTTAGATAATTATTATGCGCAAATTTAACCCGTTAGGTCACTGCTTGCTATGCATTATATATTCCGTTAAATATATTTTCAAGTTCCCCTGTTGGGTCAACGGTTCGCTTAGATCGTTGCCTTTGTTTATCATATTGCACAATGTGCTATCGTCGTCTGGTAAAATTCTAAAAAGCATCTATCTACATTCACTATGTTTTATTTTAACTTCACAGTCGACATCATATTATGCCCCCGTTATGCCGCTCTATAAAATGAACTGTCCAACACAAAGCGAAAAGTTGCCCCTTGATGCCATTTTCATCCGTTTGATCACGAGAACAGTATATTATGGAATGGATATTCTCGCATGTAATGCGTCTGCGCATTATAGAAGCCGTCTAATTGCCTCTATGACTAACAGGGTAAAAATATGCAAGCGGAAAAACCTTTAAAGGTGCCTTTAGAGCGCTGCGATCTTTAAAAGTGGCTCGTATTCAATGCTCATTCAAAAATCTCTTGCAGTGGTCCTATTTTAGATACCATCATTGTTATTATACTGTTCGTAACAAGAATATGCAATGGTCGGCATCAACGGAACCCCCGACGTATTTAAGTAACAGCTCGACGGTTTGCCTTTGAGTGTGTTTCGCAGTGAGTACTTTGCTCTGTTTTTATAGAGTATGCATTTGTTGTGGAATTGTGTAAATTTAATTTATTCCGAAGGGTGTTAACTTGATTGTTGCTAGCTTGTCTGTTATCTGCACAATGTGGTCGTTCTTCGTGGCATTATTTCGTAACTATATTAATCGAACTAAAGTAAGGAACACACCTTACGCAAGTAAGGAACAAGTAACGTAATTGAAACATTCTAGCTAAGGCCTAAAAGTATCAAATTTTTTTTTATTTTCCTGAAAAATCTAATAAACTCTCATCAGTGAATAGAAGTGGTTAAGATGTCATACATTGGGTTGCTAAATTTTGGGTATTTTTTATTCATTCCAGCCTCTTCCTGCCCCGTTCAGTAATGCATATTTATAGGTAATACGTTTGAAAAGATAGATAGCGTGATCGCTTACTAATGATTCGAATCAAGAGAATACATTTGGATAGCGCTTAAAGTATCTTTTTGGTGCCACGTTCATGCCTTTTTGGCGAGATTCGACAGCTGAAAAGGCTGTTACTGCACCGACACGACGGGTAGTAAAAATCCCCAGATAGGACCGGGCAAAGAGACCACGCTAGACTCTGTAGCCGCGCTTAATAATCTTTTAGTCTTTCTTCCGATAGAGGCAAACCTTCTCTTCATCATCCTTACCTTCTGGCGTTGACTGACATTACTAGATGTCTTTTTATTGTTTGAAAGTGCGACAGGTGAAAGCGGACCGGATGCTTGAAAGGACATGCAACTTCGTTCGACTTTATAAAGTTAACAGCAGCTCTTTTGTTGGTTATATAAAGAGAAGCAAACGCACTCCTGGCTCAGTCTACATAAACTAGTAATAGAGTTTGTTTAGATATCTATAATGATTACTCATAATTTCAGAACTTCTGATGTAAGCGACAAATATGTACGGAAAACGCGATGAAAATAGCGTACTTTGAGAGAGCAATCACTCCATCGAAAACGATATTTCACGGCAATACAGCTCTAACAAAAAAAAAAAAAACGATTTCTTCTATCAGTGGTAAATCCTTAATCATGAAAAAGTCATTGATTCTGAAGAATACCGGTAGATAGAGGAAGCGGCATGTGTGGCCTACAGGCACGATGGCAACGAGGCATCGGAGCTCTGCAGCGCCGAACAGAAAATCATCTTGCTTCGTCTATAATGACGATAGCATGTGTCATTTTCAATCAAGTTAGTTAGGTTTTATTAAAACGACAGTAATAAATTAGTCTAATGTCAAGAACGGATATCAGCATGAATGGTGTAAGATTTATTTAACACATAGAACTTTGGAGTTTTATTATATAGTCACACACGTTGTATAAGGTGCAATGTTCTTACCCACTCGGGCTTTTTCCCTTACCTGGAGAAAAGACAAGTTCACCAAGAAATAGAAGCAAAAATAGAATTTCTCGATAACTTTAAAGCTGCATGCGCAACTATATTTATTCTAGCTGTTCTCGCTTTTGGGACCTAGACACAACTTTTCCTTCTGGAAATCGGGTCTGCACCTAATTTCCTAGATCTGTTTATATTAAACCAATGAAGTAAAGTTTCTTTAGTTTTGCAAGTACTTTTCATCTAATCCTAGTTTTTGTACTGGCAATGTTTGGTGATGATTATTTCGAAGTGCTTCCATCGTAGAACCTTCTGTAAAGGATAATTATTTAGTAGGTGAATATAGAAAATTAATTATTAGAACATATTTCTTAGCAAACCTAACATTGAGTAGATAAAGTAGATATACATTTTGATACGTATAGATATCGCTTCTTGGTTAACGATGGGATGCAGTTGTGACTTCTCGCTATAAGCGAACTCATTGTTTCAAAGCTGTAGGATGTTCTAGGATAGTTGTAGCTAGTCGAAAAAGGGAAAAGTAGCAATTAAAATTAAGCTATCTTGCTGCTTTTCCCTGATGATATTCTTAGACTTTCTCCGAAAAGCTCCGTTAACGAGATTAAATGGATTTCCCACCGGGCGATTTCCTAGAATTTTGTTTTCAATGGAACTGAAATTCAATGCCAGAACTTCTGAACTTCTTTCATAAAAATTGAATGAATATTTTTCCAGACACATACTTGGATAACGACTATAAAAACGTGTAAAACAAATGAATAAAAATTAGCTCGTTTGTGAAGGATGTTGTTGAATCGTCGACACATCCGGTCGGGCTCGCAATGATTCCATAGCAAATAATGTTAGGAAATTTAGAAACACCACTGCCGAATTGGCACTATGAAGATACAGTCAGAGTTAATAAACAAAAAACAATAGTTGCCGTGACAAGTTTAACAATTGCTACAATGCCGTTTAACAATGCCGTGACAATTTCCTGTACCGTCAGCGCAAAAATAATAACAGGTAATTACATGTTCCGATAGTTGATAAAATATAAACGTCAACATAAGCGTGATTCAGAAGTTCACTTCGAAGCCACGTTTGTCGTGCTCTTCTTCTTCTAGTATTTCTAAAATGTTCTAAGCTATAACAATAGCGACAAACATATCGAAGCTGCGATGTGAAACTAAGATACACGTTCACAAGCATATATACACACAGGGCAAAAGCATTCGATCAAGATATTTTCTTTCCCTGTAAAATTAAAAAAGTTACAATTATTCAGATCGTGTGCCTTTAAGATACGATGCGTCCATTTGGCTTCACGCTTAAAATTCGCTAAATGAAGTGAACTCGTGAATGAAATGAAGTCACGACGGTTTCAAACGTGTAAATGCGTAGTTGGCAGACGTTACGCGATGCTTGACGTGTCCTTTTGGGATCAATAATGTCTTTACTTAATTTCTTGTGTTTACTGAGTTTGACCGTCTACATGTGCTTGACTATAGCTGTCAATAGATTAAGTCAATCTGTAACAGAGTTACAGATTGAACTAAACCAGTCTACGCCAGCGATGGTTCTAGGACGGCTGTGATGAAACTGGATCATAGCATAGTGACCAACGATTACTACTGATCATTCCTTGAACCTGGGCAGAAGTCGCCTACGTGGACTCGGTATAGCTTCTGGAGAGTCGATCCTGAGTCACCACCTGAAAGGTCTCAAAATGTGAAACTGAGTAGCGGCGCAGAAGAGAAGGCATGGATAAGCAATAAACGCTTGCAATAAAAGCACTTGCCTATTTCCTAAAAGACGACGCACGACATGATGTGGGGGGTCATTCTATAACTGTTGGATTTGTTGTGCGGCGTGTTTTTTTGTTATTGATCTTACAAGCTATGTTAAAACCTTTGAAGCTCCGCTACCTGTTTCAAATTCCAAAAAAGAAGCACAAACAACTAGGTTGAAAATTCCCGATAGTGATAATAAATTAATATCTATATTATACTTGAGTATAACTCCAGTTATATAAAAACGCTGAAAGGAGCCTTGTATGCATACGCAGTGGTGCCATCTCTTGAGCAGCAAGATTGTCCTTTTAATTATATATCATTTTATTTATATAAAATTTCATTTATAGATACAGCTGTCTGATAGATGCGGTTCAAGTATATCTTCACTTTTTTTGCGGACTGTGGAAATATAATTTGCACTTTGTGCTTCGTCGAGACAATAACCATTGTATAGCTATACGGCCAACGCAGCTGTCACGTCTGTTGTGAGTTGGCATTCATTATGTCACACACTGAACTCAGTTTCGTCTTTTGCCTATAAAATAAACTAGCATTTCCAGTCATTGCGGAGACGCAATTCTGAATGCCGATCGGCATCCAATAGGTCCAATGAAAGCGACAACAATAGGAGCTTTTCGCCACGTCCTTCGTACGCGAAGTTTGTGAAAATAGCACCGTTTTTACTTGGCATGTCCTATGACTACACCATAGATTATTGCCATACGATTGGATTACACGAGCAAAACTATAAATGAATTTGTTAAACATTAAAAAAGTAGGTCTGGTTTTTTTTCGAAAAGCAATAACGTGCCAAATCAGGGCCGGGAAATCAGAATTTACCTAGCACATATTATTCCACTAGGTTTTTCTCGATACTCTTATGCGTGAGTAATTCGTGTTGCAAAACAGCTTCAATCAGGAGACTTCAAAGCTCCTGGAACACAGGCGGGTGAGTAGAGCTGAAATACTGTAACTGACTCCAAGTTCAGCACTTATAAGGCTGGAGGCAAGTTTGCTTAGGCATCCCGAAAAAATACACTACAAGACTACACTTTTTCTAGACTTCAATAAGCTGCGTCAGCACATCTTACTGGCTAGAATATATCTGCAATAGTCGTACAACACGAAGTTTAGCATCATTTTCATTCAATATTTTTATTAATTTAGCAAATATTTCCCAAGATAGTTACACGAAGTCTCTTCTTCAGCGCATCCTGTATCGCGAGTAATCAATTAGAATGTATGTAGTCGTATTTAAAAAGAAATCCGAAAATTGAAGCTTATTATGAAGGGCCTGTTGTTGTATACTAATTGAAACTTGAAGTACGCATAATTTTGAAAATCAATTTTGTCCTGCGCAATCGGCCTAGCTAGACGCTTTGGAGTTTATATGTTACCGTGAGCTACGAAGGTGTGCTTCGTTGATTTTCGGGCAGAATGTAATCTGCACAGCCCGTCGTTTGCCTAGGCCTATTTGAAAAAAGATCTTATTTGATTTGCTATTGTAAAATGTATAATACACCGCGCGTTTACAGTCAGAAAAAAAAAAAAAAAAAAAGCAGTTCGAATAGGCTGTCTACAAATCGACCTGAAAAGTGGTAAAGAGATTTTAGGTACGAGCACATCAATTGAGTATTTAGAAAATCGCATAATTTGGAGTTATGTCAAAGCTTTTGAATGAAGCCAGCTGTTCATTCCACAGTGTAGAAATTAACGAACTGATGTGAGATAAACTCAGGTTTATAGTGAAAGCGCATTACATCAACTAGCCCCGGTATTTCTGATAAGCCAAGTCGTGTCGTCGTATTGGCAAAGATATGAAATGAAAAACTGCAGGTAATTCAGAGGGGCTACAGTGGTGATGGAACCCGATGTGCGGGTTACCCTCGACCCCCTGACACTTTGGCCTGACACCATAAAAGCTAACGTTTATGAAGAAAAAGGAAAGTACGCACTATAACTCCTTCTTGTAACGGTACTTTTCCATATGTGTGCCATCACTGGACCTATGTCGCTTAAGCGTAAATGGGTCGCATTGTTTTATTCCATTCATATAGGTCATCCTAATGTAAATCACTTAAAGCATTGTAGTGAATCAATGCTGTATAACACTCACTCGCATTACTAAGCTAAGTATCATAAAAATTATCAAGTAAAATTAGCGGGCAATTTTTAGGATCAGTTTGTTGATTTTGTCCTGAGTTCCCTCTTGCGACACACTGGTTACTATCTAAATCGCGTCTCTTATCAAAGATCGATGTACACCTACGTCATTATTGCGGATTATGTAATGTATAGCGTACCCATTTATCAAAATGATTAGTTAAATAGCTTCTGTTCGGTAATTAAACCAGCATCTTCTCGATGATTTTTACGTATGGTACCGTGAGGCGCAAACGCGGATAGGTACGGCTTGCGTACGTGAGTATGTTTGCGTCCCCAAATGAACAAAACTCGAGAAGTCTAACGAGGAATTGACCTCGTTAACTCCTACTATTATTATTATTATATTAGCTGAAGGGCTCTCCGGGCTCGTGTGGAATAAAGCGTGTATTTCCACGGGAGACTTGTTTTGTAAACAACTGGCTAAGGATTTGTTGGTGCCTGCTAATTATCAGCCTAGTATGAGTAAGCAAAGTTTAAAAATAAAGACCTCCAATACACACGGCGATTATAAATTACAAATGCATAAAGGTTCGGAGAAGTAAATTATAGCGTATTAGGTAAAAACTGTGTTTTTTTTTTTACAGAAAATTCTCGAACTCGGACTTATGGTTTATCGAATTTATAGCAGCCGCAGTCAGTCTAAATACTGGTTTCTAGTTTTCATTTTGAGAATTTATTTATTTGGTAGTAAACAGTATTGGTTATCGGTATAGACGTTGGTCACTTATAATAATACAACGATAAAAATAACAACAATTACAGAAGTCAATAGAAATAATGTCAATTTACCAAACGATACGTCTAGACGGGGACCAACAGATGCCTACCGTGAGGGTTGCGGGCTACCGTTTGCTGAGAGCCACAGATTAGAGCGCTGCAACACGTATACTATACACTAAGCGTTATCGCTAAGCGGGTAAATGCAATACAAAGCGCATTTTAAGACGTTCCAGTTTTTCTTTAATTGCACTACAATTGCGCTAGATGTGTTTTCTACCTTTCGTAATGGCCTTCGTCGGGTGAGGAGCGCCGCATTCGAATTTTCATTCAAAGGTAATGTTAACTACAATGGAAACTTTCGGCTTACTTTTTCTCTTTCTAAACCTCGTTAAGAAAATTAATATCCATATGGACGTAACAGTTCGGCTCTTTTACATACACTGTTGCTGTTACCAGTAAATCAAGCTAGAAATTTCAAAAATCCCAAAAGTTCGTCAGCCACCGTACGTATCTTCTTATAGGCGATACTGTAGATATACAAATGTACCTTTGTGTTCTTCACGGCCTGACTGGGTTTGTGCTTGACAGCATGATCTTCAAGCTTATCTTAGAATTCATAGGGCCCTTCTAACTTTTATACGAAAAAATTTAGACAGCACGATGTAGCTGCTATTTTTCCTTGCTGCTACCATCAGCTCAGGGAAAAAAAATCGAGACTCTTTAGGGCAAATCTGTTCCTCATTGGGATTTGGGATAACCGAAATGAACTGAATAGTTTACTTGACATATCTGTAACCAATCAAAGTGCATGTTCGTAAGTGTAAAAGGAAGACAATGTTCCTTGCGTACGTAACACTTTCTCAGACTGACGTCATAAGCACAGCCTTTACCAATACCCTATGTTAGACTGCAGATCCGATGCTTCTAAAATAAAAATTTTGCGGACAGAAAATAGCTCCTAACCATCTTGCTCAAAGAGACACGGATACGCTTGCATCCGTCAGTTACGTAGACGTTTTTATTTCGCTTGAAAGAACAGAAACGCGCTATTCAATTACCACTCTCGGATAAAGTGTTTCTGATAGCTTTTCGGAATGCCGGATCGCGGACCAATCTAGATCGCAAAACAAGCTTTGTCGAATGCAATGTATAGTAAACTCACAATTATTACGATACTTCATATACAGAATACAACCTAGTCGCGTAGCCTATGAAATGTTAGGAGGATGATCCCGACAATATGACTGAACCCGCTCAATATTAACGGTTATTTGCAGACGACAAAGTGCCGATGATAAACATGTCGCGTGTGCGTGCGGCATCGAATGTTACTAAATGCATATAATTCAAATGAACGGTTTGCTCACTTTCGAAAAGGAAACTTAGAACCCGACGACCCGGATGGCATGATAGCATTTATAGTACGGCAATAGCCTCAGAGTACGCAGGCAACCTCTGAATGGTAATCCAGGTCACATGTTAGAAAAGGCCGGGAGCATTATCGGTGAATAGATTATGAAGATCAATAATATAATATATATATATAATAATGTTCGGACACTTAGGTGAAGCATAAGCCCAACTATGGTCGAATGTTTGGGCATGTCCTCAGCTTCTGGAAAAAAGTAAATCTATTACATTTGCTTACAACCTTGATTCTGAACCCAAAGTGGTTCATTTACACGAACGTGAGCAGAAAAAAAAAGCTCTGGAAACAGAAGTATGCCTCAGTTTGTTGCATCGGTGTTCTTCTAATTTATATACCAATTACATATTCGATTTTGAGCTTCTATTAGGATGTTTGATCATACGCATCACATAGATCTGACCTCGCCAGATTATTACTTTTTGAGTCTCTTGTAAACAACCTTAGATAAAGCAACATTCGATTTACTTGATACATTAAAAATGTTAAAAAGTCATGAAGAGTGATGTGTCTGGAGAAATTACGTTATTCCGTTTTCAGAGTGTTAGCTGAAATTAGCAGAAAATTAACAGGAAAACGGCAAACACTAATATATGCGTGAAAAGG